GTGATGGGACGAGAGGGAACGGCCTCAAGTTGTGCTGGGGAGTTTTAGATTTGGCACTTAGGGCCATGGTTTAGTGGTGGACTTGGCAGTGCTGGGTTAACGGTTGGACCTGATGATCTTAAAGGTCTTTTCCAACCTAAACGATTCTACAATTCTGTTCTATGATTCTATGTCCTGACTTCAGCAAGCAATTATTTTGCATGCTGTGATGAAAGGTATCCATTTATGAAGACTATTTACTCATTTAGGAGGAGATCACTGAGCACCTGAAGCTGTGCTTGAGGATTTTAATTTCTGCTACTAATAATAAAGAAAGCAGCCACCCCAAATGTCATGTCACACTCTTCAGGCACACTGCGCACTCCCGATTCCCTCAAAGAGTGACCTGGGTTTGTGAACCAGGTACCTTGATCTGCGCTACTGAAAGAAAATCTTTTTTTTCCCCTTATAGCTCCAAGTGAGTTTATGTTAATGAAAGAACCTTAAAAAGCAACAGCATAAGCATATAAGGATTTTTGTGCATCTGTTGCATTTTCCACACTTCCTATATTCTCTTTCTACAAAGTTGTGACACTGAAGGGTTCCTTTGTATATCTAAATACTCAGAATGGCAGTTAACCGCTGGCAGTGCTATGTGTTACCCACAGCAGGTCACAGTCAGGGAGAAGGGCTCTGTCCTAGCTGCAGGGCTTTTTGACTTGTTTTATTCTAGCACCATCAGAACGCATCTCCCGCTTTACTGCGGTTTGTTTGTTTTGTTTGTGTACAACCTATTTTCCTTTTCTTGCTCAGGGAGAACAAAGGCATTCAAAAAACATCCACCTATAATCCTCCCTGTAGGTTTGGCTCTCAAAATAGTTGTATTGTTTCTTCCCCACTGCCTGTCTTGCAGAGATCTCAGTGCCCTGTTTAAGATTCACCACACGATCTGCAGACAAGGAAAGAGCTCTGAACAGATGAAGCAAGTTTGCTGCGAAGGCCAAAGGGAAAAGTGTCATGGTCAAAGAGACAGCAAGAGTCATTTTGCTGACTTCGAGTTAGGTACTGAGCCCTGTAACTCTAGTACTCATTGTGCTCCCTTTGCAGCGATACAAATATTTGGCCTTTCTTTGTTAGTTTTGAGTAACGTGTTAAACAAAGGTGAAGGAGATGCTGCACATAAATACAACAAGGAAGAAGTTTTACCTGTGAGATGCTGGCTACTGCTGATGTGGAAATGTTGACAACAGTTGAGGATGTAGAGACTGGACTGGCATTGGTAGTTGATGCTGTAAAATTAAGAATTACTGCATTAAATGTTTCTAGAAAAGGACAAGAGACAAGACCAATCGAAGCTGTGAAATAAGTACTTACTAGGCTTATGTATAAGCATTTGTGCTTCCAGCAGCACTCTGCTTGTAACAGCTAAAAAAGAGTTGGGGTGTATTTTGAAACCAGTTACATTTCAACTGGGCTTACAGGGAAGGAGAGCTAGCATATCTATAAAACCAGTAGTTTCAAATGGTTCAGAAACCTTTTCCCTCCATGCCTCCTAAGCAACTGGAGTACAATTAAAATGGTTTCACATCTTTACTAAAAGTTTTGAGAAGACAACAATCACGTTCTGATGTTCGATTATTAGCAGTTGAAAATCAATCAGAATAAATCAGTAAAATGGATCTGAATGTGTTTAAATCAGTTCTGATAAAAAAAATTCTCTCTTCATTGGGCTTAGCATATTTAGTCTAATTAGATCAAAAAAATTTAGTAAAAATATTTCAAATAGTATAAAAAGGGTGCTTCCTATTGGAGAAAGTGAAAATATCTCCCCATATCCTTGTGAGACTACAGTTTTTTGGATGAGACTTTCTGAAATAATTTGTCAACATCTTGTAGGACAAATTATGAGAGACATGTAGTTGTTAGTACGAATTTTAAGTTGTTTAATAGCCTTCACGTTACTGCATTCGGTTCTTCCAAAACACAGAAGAGGCTGCTCGAGCACCTTCTGGGAACACCAGTCATTTAGTAGATTTTGTGGTTTTACAGCAACAGGGCCACTCCATTAAACATTACTGCACATGGGGTTTTGGGACCCTCGAGGATTAGTGAAAACAAATAATGAAATCAGCATGAACAAAATCAGGATGTACTAAACCAGGTGCCACCAAGAAACACTTTCTTTTGCTAAACCTTCTTTCTCTGCACACATCTCAAACCAAAAATCACTTTTAGATGCTTATGAAGACTTGCAGAAATCCACAGTATCACCTACTTTACCATCACTCTGCGAAAAGCCCTCACTTTCTGCAAACAGCACCCATGCAGAATTCACCCCAGGACTGAAGAACTCAAACTTCTGAAGGCTTCAGTCTTTCTACCCCAGGGAAACGGACCCCACCACAAGCTCTTAATCAATGTATGTTGTGTTATGGCAAGCACAGATACTACCTGGTGAACAGCTCCTGGAAAGAGGAATGGATCCAAAATATGCCTCAAAAAAGATGAAAAACAAAAGAAATATATCTTAAAAGAGGTGCAGAAATACACAGTATTTACAAGAGGTGAGAAATGTGAAGGGTGGCTTCCCTGCAGAAGCAGAAACGAAGGTAAGTAATTAGCCCCTGGGAATCCCCTCACAGGTAGGAGCAGCAGTGTTCAAAAACAGATGGGAGAGAATTTTGGGGGGAGAACATTTAGAAAAAGGAAAAAAGGCTGCACTGAACAGCAATAATGGTAATGAAGATACTCAAGTACCTACAGTAGCTATGCAGCTACCAGAAGCACAGCTTGAGAGTAAGGTACCCATCACAGATACTCCTCCTAAGCAACTGCTAGAGAAGAGGGGTTAGTTTCCAAACACAAGTCCTTCCAACTATACACGTTACGGAAACGATCAAGGCTGTTATTACCTTAAGAAAATGTCACTTCCTAGGGCACTGCGAAGAGCAGCTCTCCAGAAAAGATCCTCGCTAACGCAGAACAAACCTGCTGTGAAGCCAGAGGAGATGAACTATCTAGAAGACAGATTATTCTACCACGTCTCTCAAGATCATCACGGAGAGCAAACAGAAAGTAATTCTCATCTGTAGTGCTCTGAAGAGGCTGCTTCTCCACTGAGATAGATAACAGAAGTTAAGAAATCATAGAAAAAAGATTCCAAGTGCTGGGATTCTGGTAAAAACACAGATTCCCTCATATGAACTTCACTGTTTATCTTAACTCTGGTCTCCTTCCAACATTTATTTTTTAATTACCCTTTATCTATACAGTGTTACACATCAGATCTTTACAAACAGTTCCCACTACACAGATTAACCAATTCTTTCTGCACTTTGGTCAGTCCAAAAACATGCAAAAGTGTTTGGCATGGATGTGCCAAAAGGGACCACTTCATGGTCTCAGGTTTAACAGACCAGCAAACACAAGTATTGCCTTGAAGCTGCCATGACTCTTTTTTTCTTCTCCTCTCTTTCTCCCCCACTTCCAGACCTCATCCTCAGACCTTATATCCCTACCTCCCCTGCCTTATTCATCCCATTCGGCTTTGCTTCAGTCGTTTTCAAAGATGTTTCAACCTGCTTCACGTGCTGGGAAGGGAAATTGCAATTAATGCATTTTATGTTTCACTTGGCTGCTTTGCTCTCACAGGGAAGGAAGAGGTGAGGCAAGAAGCAGCCATTCCTTCCAAGCGCCTCTGCAACATACCACCATGGCCATAGCTCGGGTGAGTACAAACCCCAAAATTCTCAGTCACTAAGTGCATCTGACCATTTACCAGGGTTCAAATACCACATTACTTCAGTCCAGCATCTGCAGACTAAACCGTATCCAAGCACTGAAATACACCTCCGGTGGGACAGCTGCATCGTACAACTGTGTAGCACCCTACTACTTTGATGGGAGAGAAAAGATAAGATTTTCAAGAGATTACTTAGAAAACAACTTTGTCCATCCTTCCACCTCCTGCTCCACCCCCTCCCTTGCACCAGCCCAGGTTCTGAGCTGACCCCTCAGCAGGCTGCTTGCTCATTTGACGAAAAGGAAACGTAGCAAAACCAAAAAAGAGTTTCCTGCCAGTTTGCAAAAAGTTTTTCAGAAAAGTGATAGCATTTACACAATTCAGGTGACTTTTCCACACTTCAACGAGCAGCCTGAAGGGAAACTCTCCTCAAATCATACATTCTCACAGCAGCGCGGATCAAGTGTTTTAAAATCCTTCTGTGGAGCAAGGCCTGACGGCGGCTCTGTCACCGCAGCAGTCCCCAGGGATTCACCTGCCCGCCGTGGTACACCACTGGCAAACCTGCCAGGGGTCACGTTAAACAGAACCATTTCTGACCCTTGGCAATTAAAGCTGGTGCTATAAAACTTTATAATTCGTTCTGCCAGGGAGTACCTGGAGGAGAACTATGTTTGAAGGAAGGTAGTATTTCCAGTGTTGCATTGCTCATGTTATGAACATGAAAAGTAAATTAAGGATAAACATTACGCTGGGCCATTTACTGTCACAATGACGCAAGCTGAGCAAGTACCATGACATACCACGTGGCCTTCCTATCAGTGAAACATATGCTAAAACCCACTTACTGCTAATTTTAAGAGTTATTCCTCTTTACTTGGCACTCATTAGACCACATCTGGATACGGCATTCAGTTTGGGGCCTCAAGCCCAAGAAAAACGTTGATAAAATTCAGCAGGTCTGGCAAAGAGCCACCAAAACATTCAGGGAGCTGGAGCATTGGCCTGTGAGGGGCAGCTGGAGGGAGTGGGCCTGTCCGGCCTGGAGAAGAGATGGCTTTGGGGGACCTGACAGCAGCCCCCTGGTACCCGCACGGAGGTTATCAAGAAGACAGAGTCAGGCTCTTTTTGCAGGTGCACAGCAGGAGAAGGAGAGAAACGGTCACAATGTGAAAGAGGGGATGCTCTGAGCTGCCAAAAGAAAAAAGTTTCACCATGATGACAGTGAAGCCCTGGAATTGGCGAAATCTCCATCCTCAGAGGTTTTTGAGACCCAACCGACCTAGTTCTGAATTCAGTGTCAGCTCTTCTTTGAGCAGGAGGCTGAACTAAAGGTCTCCTGAAGTCCCTGAACTATCCTATGAAAATATCACACAAGAAATAGATTAAGACTTCCTGAAATGCTTTTTAAAAATCACAGAGAAAGAGATAAATTTTCACAATTCATCACCAAAACATAAACGGCAAAAATCCTGCCTAGCAAAAAAGTATCAATTTGCACATATTTGCCATAAACAACAATATTACATTATTCAGCTAACTGGCACATTTACTCCTAAAGATTGCTTTGGAAGCTGGTGAAACTCAGCACTTGGCTTCTTAGATGTGGCACTTCCAGCAGCTGGAATATTTGTAGGCTAGTTCTATGCTGAGAAATTCACTTTCTAGCAGATCTACCAAGCTGGGAGGGGAGTGTAATACATAAGAGCCATCCACCTCCAGAAGTAATTAAAAAAAAAATAGTCCAATGTCAGGCAGCGTATTTCCTGACATCAAGCTAAAGACCACCAACAAGGAGCTTGAGCTGCAAGAGCATTCCCAGTAAAGGCATGCAAGAACACGACATTTAGTCTCCTCTCCCCTTCCCATTTGCTCTTCACCCTGTGAAGTCCATCAGCATGGCACCAACAAGCCAGCCTGGTGCATACAGAGCTAGGTAGCAAACACAAAACCAAACACATACACACACACAAAGAGAAAGACAAAGCATAAAGAAGCATGCACAAACCAAGAACAAACGTGCAAGCCTCTCTATTTGTGGTATCTGGACTCGATTAGGTGGAGAGAGATGCAGATAAAAACCATGCCAAGTTACCTTCAATGGAATAAGAATAATGTGCTGGGCTGGGCTGGCTTGTGGTTAACCCTGTAGTGCAGGTAAGAACACTGTGCTGACTTGTAGATGGAGTCTGAATTAAACCACTTTCAGGTTTCATACCTGGCCACAGTGCACCTGAATCAGATAAATTGGACCAGTTACAAACAAATATGCTGGGACCAAACAGCATGCTGCTACCTCAGATTAAGATTTTTGCTTGTCACAAAAGCAAGTAACAAATCACACACAGAAAATGTTTAATTTCTGCAATAGTAAGTGCTGACTGTCAGGCTGTGCATGGATTAGAGCTGCTGACAAAACTGGCTGAAAAAGAGAAAATTAAAAGCACCAACAAGACCAATTTCCAAAGCTTTCAACTAAAAATCTGGTAGTGTCACAGTAAGATTTGCTGCCACCTTGGTATAAAGGAACTGCTCATCCCTGGGATGTTTGGGCTGAGTTGCACAGCACTGCAAATGACCTCAGCTATTACACAGCGAGGCTGAAGCTGGGATATATTAAGGTCAAGGTCAATGCTTCCACTGCTTCACTGGGCTTTGGGCTGAATATTTTAAACCAAGCCACAAGTCAGTTATTTTCATAGCCTGACAACAGCGAATATGGAGCTCAAAAAAAAGGGAAAAAAAAATCTAAATGCTTCTTCTGGATTTCCTGCCATTCTGGAAGGCATTTGTAACACCACTGGGCAAAGCACAGAGACAGCAAAGTGACCGTAATTCATCCGTACAAGGCACGGATAAGCAACGTGGTTTCAGCTCAGGTGCCACGTTAAGGTCTAGTCTACTGCACCAACGGTGGTGAAAACAGCATCCAACTGAAGTAGCTCAGCTCAGGCCTGGTTCTTCAGGGCTCTTCAGGCTTTTCTTTAAGTGTTTCCAGACCTACAGCCAAAGTCAAAGGCATTTCTCCCTGGCCCTGGTTAGAAAGCAGGAATTCGTTGAAAGGATCTACTTGAAAACAAGCAGGAGTGTGCAAAGCAGAGGGACGAAGGATGTTGGGAACTAGACACAAAGTTCAGGGCCAGCAGAAAGACCACCCTCCTTCTTAAACCCCCCCAAAACAGTACCAAGGCTGCGAAAGTCACCTGCAGCCTTTCACCCGCTCCGGCAGGACGAGCCGCGGGTTACGAGCTCCAAGTCTCTTACCCAGAAGGCACGGGAGACTCTACAGAGCTGGGCGAGAGCAGCAACTCCAAGAGCTCTCTCCATGCTGCAGCTTTGTCAGAATGAAATTCTGCAACTGCTCTTTGATTTATTTACGTACCTGATCTCAAACTGTCACCTGTGAGTCAAATTAAATCATTCACCTATCTGTACAGCCAGACCAGGGTTTTGATTCTTCGACTGTCAAGTTGCATCTTCGTTAGTGTTTCAAACCTCGAGAACCATGATAATTAGCAAGCAAAAGGGAAAGACTGATTTAAGAAAGATCGTAGACATATTGCAGAAACTCCAGAATAAAATGTATGGGAAACCGGTCCTCCAAGGAGAGTGGGAGTAGCTGGTTTTGTTTAGGCTGGAAAGGGAGTGCCACAGTCTTCAAATAGGTGAGTAGTTTTGAGAGGGGAGAGTAGCCAACAGTTCCTTACGGTGCAAGACAGATGGACAAGGAACAGACAGCAACACAACCAGACGGTCACAGGACACACTGAAGGGCCTAATGACCGCGACACTGAAACACAAACCAACTCTGAATGCTGCAGGATAATTCTCACGTGAGGAGTGTAACACCACGTCAGACACGTGTCAGAGGTGTTCGCAGGGCTGGCTGGATGCGAGTGCAGGAGCTGACTCAGCTCGTGTGTTAAGGCGTCTTTCAGCTCCTGCTTTCCGTGACCGTCTCTTTACAATCTCCCAGCAGAGACATGTTCTACGTTCCATACAGCAAGGCATGCTCTTGGCCTGGTGGCACGCGTCTTTCCCTCTCGTTCTGCAAGGCAGCGTTTATAAGCTAGCACAGCCTTGAGGATGGCAGAGAGAAAGCTGGGCGAGGGGGAAGGAGACCCCTCCACATCCAACGGCAGCACCGCAGCTGGGGCAGAGGAATGTCACAGGACACATCTACGATGAGGGTGGTGAAACACTGACAGGGGTTGCCCAGAGAGGTGGGAGATGCCCCATCCTTTGAAACATTCAAGGCCAGGCTGGATGGGGCTCTGAGCAACCTGGTCTGGTTGTAGATGTCCCTGCCACTTGCAGGGGGGATGGACTGGATGGGCTTGAAAGGTCCCTTCCATCCCAAAGCATTCGGTGATTCTATGATACGTACATGGAAAGGCTCCGCATGGGGTAGTCCATTACTTGTAGGTTTTTCTTGAGTTAATGTAAACCATCACATCCGCAGTGTTTTTAACACCAACTTACAGCCACACATATGCAGCTTGTATGTCACTACTCTTATTTTAATGCTGCTTTAATAAAATCTCTCCAGACCACAAGTATGTCCCACGCAGAACAAGGCACTAAACACCACCAAAAAAAGTATTACAGCACAAGGAGAGGTGACAAGCTGGCGAGAGCACAGGTCATCTCTTCTCTGAAAGAAGCATCCTGACCTGAGTGATCTCAACCCTATGCTTGTGTTTGTCAGCTTGCTTGAATTTCATACTTAAAATACATCTGTTTTGTTCCAGTTATAATCCACGATGCCTTCTTTCTGGCATAGAAACAAATACACAGTAGAAAGGCATGCAAACCTCTGGAACAGGCTCTTTGATGCTGGTGAAACATCTGACCAAGCTGGCCAAGTCCTCACCCGCTCAATGGAGATTTTGTGAGCAGAAACAATTTGTAGAATTTCCCCTGCACTGCGCGCGTTCGGTCCTCTACCCTCCACCTGCCCATCACACCACGCCAGGTCAGTATGATTGAGCAGGTACCACTCCAGTATGATTTCCATTACTGGAAATATGACTTCTAACATCTTCCTAACACTTAAATTCAGACTAAAAATTCAGGTATTTAATAATAGCCCTCAAAATCCATACCAAGACATTTCAGTAACTGATCACGTTTCAGATGTTTAACAGACAGAAGTTCCTACGAAGTCAACAGAAAATGCTGATCTCTCGCCTAGGTCTTCAGAAGAATTTCTACAGTTACGTTCAGAGTGTAACACTGAAGCAGCTAAGTACCCCCAAATTCCAGAGCCTTTGGATTAAAAAAAACGCAAACAAAACCTTTTAAAAAAAAAACAAACCACGACACAGTAAAATACCCAAGAACGTACAAAGCAGCCTCGATGCACCGTTCACAACAAACTATCAATAAACACGAAATAAATGAAGTAAAGAAAACCACCAGCCACTGTTCAGATATAGCAAAAACCAGTGCAACAAGGTACTGAAACCAAAGTGCAGGCACCCAGTGAAGAGAAGTACGTTCCAGCAACCATAACATGGGGTCGGGCATGGTTTGTAGGTAACAGACTGTCGTGAGAACACCCAACGCTACAACCAGACAAAAAGACAAGGAGCAGAGCATTTAGAAAGACAGCAGACAAACTGTACTGGCAACTGAAGACTTGGGTATGGACACAGCATCAGACTTCTCCGCACTGGTTCAGCTTTCCAGGGAAAAGCTCTCCTGAAGGAACGAAGGGAGCTCAGAAAACACAACAGGCAGAGACCTTTGGCTCCCCAGGACACGTAACACAGAGTCAACGAGGTCCTCACCCACTAGAAATCCAGAGACCACCATCACGCCAGGTGGTGAGGAGGGTTGGTTGTTTTTAAACATTTCTGAAATGGCAGCCAGACTTGAACCTTACTGGCAGGGGCTGAGCTAGAAACGCAGAAGCAGCAAATACCAACAGCCACCCAAATGACCCCATTCTCCTGAAGAGCCTTGAGTTGCTAATAAAACAGCCCTGAGCTGCTAATAAAACAGCCCAACACTTACACCCTGCAAAGGTCGGTCTCTTCTCCTAAGTCACTGAGTTCAAGACTATTGATTTGTGTGCTTTGCTCACTGGCAGCCACCCATCCCTGCTTTCAGGTTGCTTGAATGAGTTTGAGGACTTGGCAGAGCTCAGGTACTACTGATGGACTTGGGGAAGTCGAGGAGCAGCTGGGGGAGCTGGGGGTGCTCAGCCTGGAGAAGAGGAGGATGAGGGGAGCCCTCATGGCTCTCTAACTGCCTGAGAAAGGAGGCTGGAGCCGGGGGGGGGTCGGTCTCTTCTCCCCAGTAACAAGCGATGGGATGAGAGGGAACGGCCTCAAGCTGCGCCAGGGCAGGTTTGGGTTGGATATTAGGAAAAACTTCTTCACCCAAAGGGCTGTCAGGCCCTGGCCCAGGCTGCCCAGGGCAGGGGCTGAGTCCCCATCCCTGGAGGGATTTAAAAGCCAGGGAGATGTGGTGCTTAGGGCCACGGTTTAGTGGTGGACTTGGCAGTGCTGGGTTAACGGTTGGAGTCGATGATCTTAAGGGTCTTTTCCAACCTTAATGATTCTGTGATTCTGTAAGTTGCCACTTTATGGTATTCAAGTGGTCAGTCAGAACAATGTACCTCAGCATTAACACAGGGCAACTGAGATCTGGGAGACACTGTTTGAGCAAACCCTTGCATCCCACTTACTACAAAACCACCCTTTTCTTCCTAAGGATCCCTCAGCCACAAGAAAACTCATTTTCATGAATCCCAGGTGAATATATATGAAAAAAATACAAAGAAAGGTATGTAGATTTGTTTTACATATTGACCTTTCTCATAAAGATAACAATTTGTGCCATATTACCTTAAACAGAATTAGTAATGTAAGTTATGTCTACTAAAACTGAGCCTAGTTGTATCACCTTTTCTATATCATCTTTCAAAAATACCACGACAAATCAATTGTTTTGTAATTTATATAAAAGTCCTTGCTCTCTCAGCAGCTAACAAAAGACATTATTATATTTATTCAAAGACATCTAGTTCTTCAGCTAAGGAAGAATTCATCCTTTTACATTTCAAGATACTAAGATTTTAGCACTACAGATAAATCTCCAAGAGGCTCTCTGCATTTAGCTACGCAGGACGACCACAAGCCCCCGAGACAGGCGCCGCGCAGCTCGCGGCCTGCCTCCCCGCATTACCCGCGCGGAAGGGGGATGCTCTCCCCTCTCAGAGCTTGGGGCCAAGGGGCAAAACAGCCTCCGCCACCATGCACTTTTGAGAGCTGGCAACAATACACAGTGTTCACATACGAAACCAAGAAGGCCAATATCAAAAATGAAAAGAGAAGTTCAAATGTTAATTTTTCATAAGCAGTCATAAAATTTCATACATACGGGGCCCATGCCATGGTGTCGCGTGGTTTTTTCCCCAGTGCCTGACACTTTAATATACAGAGTACAAGGGAAGACCGGGCAGCTCCTTTCACTAGCTAACCCACCCAGAAGTCAGATGTTTCTGTCTGCACTGCTCATCCTCAACTCCCTTTATATATCATGGAGAAAGATGGCCGTTATCTTCTAAACCAGCCCAGCGCCCCAGAGGTGCATCTCTCCCTCCATGCGCTGCAAAGGAAGCACAGGGTGCACAGCTCAAACCCCGTCATCGAGCTTTGACTGCTCCGTTACGACAGGACTCGTAGCCTTCAATCATTTGCAAAACCTGGAATGGCTAAGGGAGGGCTCAAGTATTAGAGCAACTTAAGCAAACTTATTTGCCTAATTACTTGGAGACGTTTTAGCATGCAATCTACATTTGGTGAAAGATGAAATAACAAAGAAGTCTTAATCCTGGCCAGCAAAAAGGAAAGAAAAATACCTTCAGCAGAGATGCTGAGTATGGGGTCTTGTGTGATATCACGGAGAAGGAAACTGCACAAACACAGCTATGCCACAACTGGAGAAAATTATCATCTCAAACTAGGACCCATCTGGCAAGCTTCATGGGGAGACATCCCAACTCACGGCCAGGAAAACAGCTTTGTAAGAAGTAGTATTTTATCACATGAAGTCCCACCAGTACTGTAGATACCGATCTACAATTTAAGTTAGGCACGTGCTCTCCTACAAACTCTTCTCTCCAACACACCTGGTTAAGCTTAACATTGGCTTTTTAATGCGACGTAAGACAATATTTGCAGGCACTGAGAAGTCTTTGAAAAGTTACTTCTTACCGAAAGGAGGTAGTCCGTAGGTTTGGGTGGTCTGGGGGTAGATGGTGTAGGGCTGAGACTGCTGTAGTGCTTGGTACTGAGTCTGACCAGGGTAAGGGCTCATTGTTTCCGATACAGGTACAGAAAGGATATGTGCATATGGTCTTATTAAAAAGAAAGAACAAAAGTAAAAAAGAACTATTTACATGAAGTAAAAAAGAACTATTTACATGATGCATCTTTCAGCCTCCAAACCAGAAGACACATTAAAAAATTGCTTTAGGAAGATGAAACAATACACACTGACACGTGCTCTCAGTGTAATACCCGCTTGTGTTTCCCCAGAGGACGGGCTCTCGGTTTTGTATACGCTGCCTGTTTCTTGCAGTGACACCAGGGGAACCTCTCTCCTCCACGACGCCAGAGCACCAGTGCTTATTCCAGGGCTGGGATGGCAGGGTGAGGGGGAAGAACAAACTCCCCGTTCCAACAGGCACTAGCAATTAGTTTCACTTATCATGCCTCACAACACCAAGTCTTAAAGCTCATACAATGTAGTGGTACGTGTCTAAACTACTGGAATGCACAAAGAGACTACACAAAAGCAAGCAGGGGGGATTAAAGCCCGCTATGCTGCAATGGGAAGAACTATTAAGATCCCCAAATGGGCTAAATGACCAGAAAATCCTGTATTCCCCTTATATTCATTTATGTCCAGTTTGTTTATTCCTCATATATTATGGGCATTATTCAACAAGACTATTGTGTTGTTAATTCCTTGAAGTGGCTCATTTATCCTTCTGATCATAAGACAACAGCCACTGAAGCCAAAGGGTGACTTCTATCAGCTTCAGTGTCCGCAGCAATGAGTACCTGTTGCCAGAAGCTATGGAAGTGTGATTTACAGTATTACAGAAATGCATAAAGATGCAAAAAGATAACTTCAGAAAGAAGTAACAGTTACAGAAACAACAATTGTTTGACTTACTTTGCAGAATACATTTGTGAGGTATAATCATTTGATGACCTTGGGATATAATCAGTGCATGTCATAACTGGAAAAAAAAATAGTTTGTATAATTACACAGGTGATTTCAAAACCCAGCGAATACTGACAATTAAATATCAGCATGCACAGTACATTTTAACCAAGACATAGGATTTACAAAGGTTTTTTAGTGCCTTGAGTATCTGTTTCAAAGCAAATTCTCAAAACATGCACTGTTAAAACAGCACAAAAATGTTTTTCTTGCCAGTTCACAGCAGGTAGATGATTCAGTCAAGACTATTTCTCCCTTCGTAACAGTGCTCTTTCTCTTTACCAGCTGGTACCATCATCTTTTGCAATTCTCATGATAAAACTTTCATTTCAGCCCTGCCCAGAACCTTGCATATGCCAAAGGGTCTTCATCTGTGCCAAGCTTAACATTTCTTTTCTGTGTCCCGGAGCAGAGACGAAAGCAGATGCTTGTTTTGCCAAGCTTTCCTCTTCCCCTTCCCTTTTCTACATACTCTGCCCAGAGCACGGCTCCAGCAATCTGTCTTTCCTTTAAAAAGGAGCGGCTCCCAACTCAACAGACTTCATCCCACACAGCAAGTGACAGCAGGCAGAGCTGCAGCGCACAAGGCTCAGGGTCCAAATTCAGATGACCTCTAAAGAAATTTGGCAGTTACATTTAACGGCATGTTTCCATTTTTCCGCTTGAATAAATCCACAGCAATTGCACTCTAAAACCGGTAAGAAAGGGTCACTTGAGCTGCAAATCCAAGGAGGAAATGTTCAAAATCTTCTCACTTAGCACTGGCTATGGCTCTAGTATACCCCGTACGTGACAGTTCTTAACCACAGCATTCCGGGTTGGGGTGGAGAAGGGGGCTTGAGTTGGTATGTCTTAGCCCAAGAGCCATTAAAAAACCCCCCTGGATTCAGATAAGCTGACTCAGCTGTCCATCAAACTAGGAAAGCAAGGAGGTGCAGGCCCCGGCACAGAATCCGGCACTGTACGGCCCCTCTGGCACATGCCACCCCCGTGGTGCAGTGTGCCACAGTCATCTCCAAGCTAGACGACTTTTGTGACTGCAAATCTGCACAGTGCGTGGGTTTACCAGTTCGGATCTACAAGCACCGTACCCAGATTCTTAGCAAACATCGTTGTGCTGCTGTGGATCCAGCTTATTCATCTGAAGACAGTTTGGAAGCAGGCAAAGCACCCAGGTTCCTGCCCTGCCTAGGAGGGGATCCAGGCTAACAGCGTACCTCTTGGATGGGTCCGGGGGCCTGGATCCTCCATCGCTAACACAAGAGACTGCGCTTTCCTCTCCCTTCTGGAGCGAGACTCAGCTAACAGCCTTTACAACGAAATACGGTCATGGATGGCAGCATACTTTGCCTTGGGATTTACTCCAGATGCCAGTCATGTGCTCCAACAAGTCGGGCTTTCCCTATCCGGAACATTATTGCTCTTGTGTCATCATGGAGTTAACTCTTTTATCATTACATCCACTAAGGGGAGCAAGTTAGTTTTTTCACAGGCAACCCTAACTGTAACATTTGCATCCTGCTACCTAAATAACCTCCTCTTAATGTAATCCGAGCATAAGTGGCTGAGAAATACAAACCATCGGCCACATGCGCTGAACCTTCTGAATGCTCCGTGAATCACCCCCCTCTGCTCCTCAGCGTTTGCCTTTACTCGTGGTGTGAAGCCCAGGTAGCCCAAGGACGCAACACGAAACGCAAACTGGGAACTTTGGGACCCAGAGGCTTTCATTCAACACTTGTCAGATACTCTCACACCCCTCATGCAAAAATGTCTTGGTTTTGAGGTTTTTTTAAAAGAATGTCAATATTCATCTGAATAGTAATGTAGTGATGGTATTTCTAGAATTCTTATTTTTAGAATAGTGTATAAAGAATTAGGTAATGGTGTAAAAAAGAAAAAAACCCCACAATATTCCTGCATGCAACTTCTGGAATTTGTAAATGACTTATCCAGTTAGGCAGCAGATTTTGCAGGCTAAAACTTCTGGTAACTCCTGCAACTGCAACATCACAGCACATTGATTAAAATAGTAAAGATGCAATCGGTTAGCTATGGAAAGTTAGGTGTTACGTATTTTCAATCACGTTGAGCTGATTTACACTTCTAAATAAGCAAAGTCAAAGGTATTCTACACAGGAATCCTACTTTCCTAATAACTTCTTTTTCCAGAAGAAAGGATACGTTCCACCTCTCACTTACTCTGCAATCTTTTTATTTTCTGCCTCAGTTTCCCCTCCATTTATTTCATAAGGAATTTCTGCAGACATTCACTACAGTTCAGAGTCTAAGATTAAGTGTACGGCATATTATTACAAAAGCCCCAACCAGCTATGTAGAGATAGCGATTTATAAAAACAACACCTTTTACAACAGGCGTTATTATTGATCAGCTCAACCCCTTCCCTCAAGAACAGCCATGTACAAGGCGGCTAAGACATAGTAGCACCCAGCAGCAAGTTGGGGGGCAGTGACACAAAACTATTTGTCAGAAAGCGAGATTTGCTTACCATCAGGCGTTAACACTTTGTAAGCAGCACAGCAAACTGAGGACAGGCTAAGGACTACAAGGAGGAGACAAAGCTTGCACTTGATCAAGCAAGTAACGAGACCAGCGGAAGAAAAGAGGAAAGACGGCGGGAGCAGAACTCCCGAGATACTTACTCTCACTGGACATGGGAAGGTTTGAGCCAAGGCTTGAAGATTCAGGCTTCTGATCGCTGACTTCTGCGTTGCTCACATGACTGCCAGGACAAAGAAAGGCTAATCGTTAGCATTATGAACTCTTAAATGAACATCCTTGGGCATCATAACCCTTGGGTTCAACCGTCCTAACCGAGGCAAACTGACTCTCAACAGAAACTAGCCCTGCGCTCTTTGACATTTCACGCAGAGATCCCAAGAGAGAGATGTGCAGCTCTAATTAGACATTAAACTGTCATCACCTCCGGCACATGAACTCACCAACTGGTCTCTCCAGATAAGGCTGCAGCTTCACTGACAGCTCAGCAGACCTAGCAGCTTGGCACTGCCGCCTGCAGCAGAAAGTACAAACTTCTTTCCTGCCGCCCGGGCACGGCCTCCTGCTCCCTGCTCCGGCACCCATCAGGCTGCCCCTGAGAGTTTAATTTGCTCATCCAGCACAAAAACCGTGCAGTTATTTTTGCTGGGATACTGAACAGACTCAGCTCATGGAGGCATCCAGCAAGCACCGTGCTTGGTGCACACCTGAGCTACAAGCAGAACTCCTCCTCTCAGCAGCAAGGAACAGTTATATTGGCTCCTTCACCTTGTAAAACTGCAGCCTGAGAATACTGGAATAACACACAGATGCCCCAAAACTTCATGAAAAGCTGTGTTGCCAAACTAGCAATAATAAAACTTATAAATAATTGAGGACATGGTATAGTGGCGGACCTGGCAGTGATAGGTTAACGGTTGGACTCGATGATCTTAAGGGTCTTTTCCAACCTTAATGATTCTGTGATTCTATGAAAACTAAAGCCAACAAGAAAATCATAAAAGGGAAAAGCAGTTTCATTAAGAAATTATCTGTACTTCCTACTCTACATATGAACAAGCAAACGTTGACATGTAACTGAAACGGTGCGTGACAAATCCAAAACAATCTAGTAACCTGTGGACATTTCTTAAGCACGGAAATGACACCCAGTTCAAGGATGCTTCAACACTGGTCTTCAGGCACAAACCCAGCAGCGAGGCAACCTCCTGCGGACACGGGAGCCCATGGCAGCAGGGCCACAGCGGTGGCATTTACTTGGCTCCTGCAGGCTGGGGGAAGGAGAAGCCGAGGAGCGTGCGATACCAACCAGCAGTGCCCTGGTAGCTCCATCCACCCCTGGACTGCTCCTTCTGGCTGGGACAGAGCTCCTTGCTCCAGGATGGGTTGGAGATAATCCCCTGGGGCAGGAGGTGCAGCTTTCCTGGGACAGGGTGAGGGGGGAGCTGGCTAGCGAGTGCCGTGGGTTCAGCCACAAGGCAAGTGAGTTTCCTTCCTTTGGCTGGTGAGAGGGAGTGAAGCTTCACCAAAATGCATCATCTGGCTTTTTCCCCCTGAAAACCTTTGTAACCAAAATCCTTGGAAATCTTTCTCAATACTAGTAGCTGAACAGACTTCCATAATAAAGCATGAATTTTGCAAGACAATCGCATATGCAGACTCGGAGTATTTGGCTACTATTCTTCTTGGTGGGAAAAAATGCTGTGGTTCTGTGGCACAGATAGGCAATCTGCGGCTGTTAAATGGCACGCAGTTTGCAAGCAGGTTGAGAGCTGCTCGGTGTGATCACTTCTGTGGAAAATGGAACAGATAAAATAACGTTTCTGACCATACTATACCAGCCCATGTTTCTGCTCTCCTCACCGCTGCTCCTGAACACACGCACCTGTGGCTCTCGGGACACATCCAATCCAAGCGCTCTTACTCTCCATCATTTACAACTTTTCAATTCTCACCCACTCAGAGAAAAATTCTCACTTGCACCGTGGCTGCCTTGCACCACTGAGCGCGTCCCGCAGACCAGCCCAAAAGCGTTAAGACTCTTAGGGAGGCCTAATGTTCCCAAGAGAGACGACCCCCGCTGGGTACAGCTCTTCCTTCCACGATCCAGCTGAGAGAGATACAGCCAGAGTATTGACATCGGCTGAAAATCATGTTGCTGAGGAGAAACAGGCCTAATAAATTATTTTAAGCTATTCCATCGGTCAAACTTAAAAATCATATATAGTTTTACCAAAATAGAGCCAGAATATTTAAACAGAATGTTTAAGCAGGTTAGAGATGCAATTTTATCCCTCCCCCCGTTCTATTTTTGAACACTAGAGAAGGATGTTTACACTCAAATCTTGAGGCTACTGGTGCCTGCAGGAAAGCTGTGACCGCACCGACGCAGGGTGACAGGCTGAAGGAGAATCGACACCGTTCACTCCGGCGTGCCCAGACCTGCCCGTGCCGCCTCGGCTCTTCTGCAGCCAGCGGAGAGAAAAAGTCCTCCTAGGACACGGTCCATCTCACCTCGCACCGCCCGGAAAGGCAGCTTGCAGCGATTAGCTCAAACTTCTATCTTTTAGACATATAATGAATTTTGCGCGCTGGCTGCTCACTGTTCCCTGTTAAAGGATTCCGTTTGATTTTTAAAAAAATAGATATTAACGTCCCCATTCAGGGCTTCAACAGATCACGTCCGCTCCTGCATGAACGGCACACACAGTGTTTCCTCCTCACTCACACGGGGATGTCAGAGCCTCCAAAAAGAACTCTTTCTTCCCAGTATTTGCCACTACTCACAGGAACAGAATAAACCCTAATATAGCTATTCTCGCTATATGTAATAATAGCAATTAATTCCTAAATACGACATACATCAGAAGGCATCTACTGAGCCTATAAAAATACAATACAACAGCTTTACACCGAAGAGGCTATCAGTTTGAGAGGCTTTAATTTCTCAAACCAGTTATCCACACAGTTTTGCTGAAAATCATAGCGCAGATATTATTAAAATATTGAGTCTCGCCAGAATAAATGCCTGTTATGTGCAGTACATGACAGTCGCATCAGATTCTGTGAAAAACAGGATGCTTGATGGTGCAATTAAGACTCTTTGTAGCCCCTTTTATAACAGCTTAAGACCAAAGGGCCAGATAATTTTTTTTTTTAATTGGAAACTTAATCTCAAAATTATAACAAATACAAAAGTGTCTTTTATTTGCCCTATCTCTGTGAAAAATAAAGCGATACGCAAGCTTCTAAAAAGGAAGCGTATCATGATAAAACAACATTAATAACTGTTCCACACTAAAATCAAATTCAAAATCACGTACCTCAAGCTTTGTTCTCTGGATTCCTGCATCTTGGCTTTTTTCATCTGTAAAGACAAAAACGTTCAGAGACAAAAACTAACGAGAGCCGTCCTTGGCAGAACCTCTGCACCCAGACCTCCGTTAGCAGATCACCACGACAGTTTGCATTACTGTTTAAATACAGAAAGTCTTGCATTGAACTCCAGAGCTAACCAGGGTCTTCATGCGTTCATCGTCTCAAAATAAGCTTCCTCCTAATTAGAAAACAAGTTCTGAAGCTGAATGTGTTAGCAAAGTTGCCATGTTATTTAAGTATGTAACAGATGATGGGATATACAGCTACAAACACCTGATAAGGACAATTTTATGGAAATTGAATAAAACAGCCGGGAATTTTAAGAAAATCTTATTCTGCATAGATTCAGCACAACTGCCATAAACTTGGGTCCTTCACTCTTTTCCCCCTATATTTAAATATTGTGTAAAGATAGCAACTTGAATTTTTTTTTCTGTAACACATTAGGAGTTCAGATTTTCATTTCTGAGTAAAAACAACACAGCATTTATTCTGTTTTTGTAGGCGGCCAACTGGATCCAGCTCCTGTACGGGGCATTACACAACAGAGAGCGCTGGCTCGAACACAAATTCGGATTTCTGCATGCAGGCTACACACGCTACTTTGAAATCCTCGGCAGGATGACAGGGTTAGTTTCTGTAGCCTGTAGTCTTTGGAGCAAGATGTTACTGGGATATACTGGCTTTTCTTTCCCCCACCTTCTCCCTCTAGCAGGAAATTTTACAGCCTTCCATGGTTCTGGAACATGTTTAGATGCCAAACTCGCTGCTTCGGTGCCCCGCTACGCTCCGGGTTCATCCCTGTCCCCGCAGGGTGCGCAGCAGCCAGCACCGTTCAGCCGCGTCTTCCGTGACCGGGGTCTGGGCGGGAACGTGCTGGGTGCCGGGCTGCAGGGCGCGCAGCCCCCCGGCCCGGGGACAGCACCCACAGACTGCTGCCACGCAGGAAAGCTGCCAGCATAAGTGCCTCACCGTGTTATCCAAGCTTCTCTCCCTCAGGCGAGTATAAATAAAATGCCAGGAAAACGCAATTTGAGCGTGAGAGGTGCTCAAAAATGTGCTCAAAACTTTTTTTAAAAAATAAATTAATAAAGCACAGCGTAATTTCTGTTGGGTAGGGGGAGATGGGAGGCAGCGGTACAAAAAAGGATAAAGGCTCAAGGCAGCAAGGGGAAAGGAGTAAGCAAACAGCAAGGATGGAAAGGAGAAAGCTGAAAGGACACCCTTCTCTCTCTGATGAAGTTACCAGTACTTTAGAGCTCAGCCTGCTCTCATCTCTGCACTAGTCTTGCCAGCAGCTATTCCCTCCAGCATTTCACAGCAGAACACTACAAACTTCATTAGCACTCATCACCCACACAAAAAAGGCAAAGGCAATGATGAAAGGCTATGGCAGCACAACGGCTTAGATATCGCACAGCCTCGGATCTTCTGACATCATCGCTTTAACCTGAGCGAAGAGCTGGCAACACTGGCACCGACACTAACTCCTGCCGTGGCTCCTCAGCCCCACAGCTTCACCGGCTTCTCCAGAGCCCTCCTCCTGCCTGGCCAGGAACACACGCTACTCCTGGTCCCCACTGCCACGAGGTCCAGGGCCTAAGGGAGCTGCATCAGCCTTCCCCACCTAAAGCCGACGTTAACTCCAACACGAAGGGAAAGCAGCCTAGTGTTCCCCCAGCTCCCTCGGGCACCGAGTTATCAGAGCAAGGCTGCTGCCCATCCACGGTGCCCCGCAGCTCCTTTCCGCATCCTCCTGTCCTGCTGCAGGTGCTCCAGCTCCTCCCTGGGACCCCGCCACCCGCTCCCGAGCGGGGACCTCAGCCACCAACACTGCAGCAGGTAGCTCAGGGTGCCAAACTGCCCACAGGGTTCTTCAGGAAAGGAGAAAGAAAAAAAATGAATCACTTCAGAACAAGCAGCAGCAAACTGCTTCAGACCAAAATTATATTGAGGATAAAAAATTAAAATTAACTTAGAGTTGGCAGCTTGAATTTTAGATTTCACAGCAGGAACGCTGTTGTTTCCAGTCAGGTACTCGATAAGATCTGGCTTCTTCAATTCAGTAGGCTTTTTTTTAATATGGGAGGAGAAATCAGCTCACTTACCAAATAAAGCCCAAACCCAAACCAAACCACCAACCCTGCCCCCCCCCCCCCAAAAAAAACGCCCCAAAAGAAGCGAGGTTTAGCAAGAACACATCAGTTTTATTGATGTTTTCATCACAACCGCAATGGAGCAGCTGTTCCTAAACCACCTCTCGATAGCCGGGGCTTGAGCTCCCAGCCCTGCTGCTCTGCCGACTTTGGTCCCTGCACTGGGACCTGGATCTTGATGAGTATCTACACCGCAAGGCCATCAGGCCTTGTCCTCCTCTGTCGGGAGACCTTCCCCCTCTGCCAGAAACGTGCCCTTGGTGTTGTGCAGAGAACAATATTTTAAATTTTTCCTTTAAGTCAATAGTTAATTTCATTTAAAAAATGAATAAATATCTGGAGAGGGTTTCATACTCTCTTTAAATGGCTCTGGAAAATGGGACAGACAGTGCAAGTATGCAGCATAAGTCAAGCAAAACAGCAATTTTGAATTTCAGTCTGTCATGTCCCTGCCTCCAGTGGCTGGCCTTGGCCAGTCCCCATCTCTGCAGGTTTTTAAAAGAAATTCTCACTAACGTCTTAATGCCAAGCAATAACATTCACAAAATCTGGAAACTTCAGTGGGATGCAAACCCCACGTCCTGGTTTTGGCTGGGACAGAGTTAATTTTCTTCCTACTAGCTGGTATAGTGCTGTGTTTTGGATTTGGTAGAGAATAATGTTGATAACACCCGGATGTTTTAGTTGTTGCTAAGTAGTGCTTACACCAGTCACGGACTTTTCAGCTTCCCGTGCTCTGCCCGGTGCACAAGAAGCTGGGAGGGGGCACAGCCAGGGGGGCTGACCCAGACTGGCCAGAGGGCTGTTCCATCCCATATGGCGTCATGGCCAGTATAGAAACTGGGGGAGCTGGCTGGGGGCAGCGATCGCTGCTCGGGGATGGGCTGGGCATCGGTCGGCGGGTGGTGAGCAATTGCATTGTGCATCACTTATTTTGTATATCCTTTTATTGTCGCCGTCGTTGTTATTATTTTCCTTTCCTTTTCTGTCCTATTAAACTGTCTTTATTCAACCCCATGGATTTTACTTCCCCCCCTGATTCTCTCCCCCATCCCACTGCGGGCGGAGAGCAAGCGAGGGGCTGTGGTGTTCAGCTGCCTGCCCGGTTACCCAACCCGACCCATTCTCTACCCATCACCGATCACTGCAATTCACACTACAAATTTAAGTGGGAGGGCACAGTTTTAAACAGAGTCTTTAAAACATATTTCATGCAGGAACAGCCTCTAGTAACAACGACTTAAGGATGATGTTCGGGGCGCAAGTAGAGTGCTGACATGATGTGCCGTACTCCCAGCTGAGCCCCGCACGATCCCGCTCCAAGCCCAAGCCCTGCACGGGGCGCTGATTCAGCCCCTCCTGCGTAAGCCTTAGGAAAGGCTGCTGAAACCTCTTCAAACGCCTCCCTTCAACACACGCTCCCCTCCAAAAACCTCTGCTGAGGTGGTTTTTTTGTCCCCTCTCAAGCGACAGAATCAGAGTTTGAAGACTTTCTGTGCAGGAGACGTGAATCCACTCTTTTTAAAAATAAGAAAAAAAGAAAAAGAAAAAGAAAGAAAAGAAATGAAAGCAAAGAAAAAGATGCGGTCCACCTCCGCGATTCAAGTTTCAGCTTTAGCAGCTTCAGACATTCTCTCACTGACCTGTTCTGCTGCACTACAATGAACAACGTGTCTCGTAAGGAACATCTTTGCTCCCACCTCCATCTTCTTATTTCACTATCAGTTTGGGGCTTATGTTGATATTAAAAAAAAAAAGGGAGGGGGGGAGGCGAGTGACACATTCTAGCTGATCCCTGCTCCCAAATCATAAATTTCTACAACTGAAAATCCAATTTATTCTTGGCATTGGAAAACTCTGTTTCTGCCCCAGATCTACCAGCGTTGGAGTTCAGTTGTATTTACAGAGTCAGAATCAAAGCAGAAACAAAGTTTTCCTCCTGACGTCAAGGTAACAGTTTCTCCATGACTGAGTCCAACCCTTGGACCAATATTCACAGACTAATTCCCACGCGTGAGCAGAAGCCGGGAACCCCCACTCACAGCTAGCCAACAAGCAAGGCGATGACTTGGAGCACACGCAATGCCGTTGGGAACGGAGGCCTGCACACAAGTCAGGAACACAAAATGGAATTAAAATCGGTAAAGGATTTGCAATAAAGAAAAATCTTCAGCCCAAAGACATGGCCATCGTTTTTCCCTACGCTTTTGGCAGCCTTGGGTCTTTCTGGAGCCCTTTCCAACACCGTGCTCTCCCTACCGCTGCCTCTGGCTTCCCACTGCTGTCTGATAGGAGAAGTCGTTCCAAATGGAGAGCAACCCAGCGGATGTCTGCAATGACCATAACACAAATTCACCATCCCTTATAAAAAAATGAGATTTCTGTCATTTTCTGGCATTAAGAATTAAATAAAGTATTATAAAAATCAACTACATGCAGCCACAATGCATTCAACAAGTGAGAGATTATTATACAGGATTGCTTCTAAAAACTAATCCAGATTAACAATTTATTATAAATTAATAACTTTTTTGTCATGAGAAGGTCAGGAGGTCACTTTCCATCATTTACCCCCAAACCTCCCTTTGCTCTCTTATTTCCCATCTCTGTTTCTGGTTTTTAGCACCGTGGTGTGCACAGAAACTTTTCCATTCTAATTCAGACTTGAAAAGGGAAGAAACATTCAAAAACCAGGGACAAAAGCCGTGCCTGGTTAACACGCCAGCCGGCAGCATGTGGGGTAAGTGTGAAGTCTAACATTCATTTAGAAAAGACACACTGTACATTTGGACCAATTATTACCGTCCATCCACGGCAACACAAGCAAATGACC